TTCAGGTGTAAAATCGGAAAATGAGTCTCTGCAAATCAAGTGAGCAAAGATGAGAGTCAGTTGTGAGAGAGAAAGAGGGAGAGAGTGTGTGTGTGAGAGAGAGGAGAGATAAAGAGGGGGAGAGAGAGTGTGTGTGAGACAGAGAGACTGGGTTCTTTATCAGAAAACGCTGTTTATCCTGCACAGCATTTTCTCATTACTCTCTGCCAAGGCCCTGCTGAACGTACAGTCAGTCGATCCATCACCCACACGATTTCAGTGACCAGAACGTTTCAACAGCTGGGAGAGCATGTGCAGCAGCCCTGCCACCGCCTGAGAGAATTTATTTCACCTTAAACTAATTTAGTGGAGGTCATATGGTCTGATTTATAATCAGTCACTTGTTCACCACCTGCATTTGGGGGGGTGGTGGGAAGAGCAGATCCTGTTGTTTTTACACGTGGACTTTCTGCTGCTCTTTGCAATTTGTATTTATGACGCATCAACCATCGTTCATCTAATTGGATCGCTCTTTCAAAGAGCCGGCACAGGCACAATGGGCCGAATGGCCTCCTTCTATGCCATTAGGATTCAATGATTCTATGAAATACTTCCATGTTTATACCGAAGTATTCAGCCTTAAATTAAAGACATGCATCTCAAGCCGAGAAAGCTATGACCCCCCCCAGGCTGTGGCTGGACACAGAGGAATGAGGGGCATCCCACACAATAACTTTACAGTGTTCCTCAGAGGTTAGGGTGCCCTGAAGCTGGTGGGTTTCTGGGGGCAATGTTTAAGAGCCCAATCACTCCAACCCCAGCCCCATGAAACAGTCTACCTCAGGGTTGAGTGATCTTATCACAGACAATGTTAGAAGTGTTTCCTTTGCTAAGCAGGATTTCCGGCTATCATTTAAGATGTGATGGATTATTCCAGAAACCCTTGTAAATGTCCCTGGGCTCTTTTTTTTTTGTGGGGGGGGGGGGGATTTGCTTCCTCCCAAGTTGTGATTCATAACAAGAGTTTCTCACGCAAAATAAATGAATAATTAATAATCCTTACATTTGAGATCAGGAGATAGGTTCAGTGGAAGAAGGCCCTTCGGCCCATCTGATCTCATCCTTCCAGAATTCCCATTGCGTCCTCCCATCACAGCATCAAGCTGCTTTTTTTTTTGCACGAATCCAATGTCCTGGCCTCAACCACCCACCCTTCCTGGTAACCCTGTTCCAGTCGTTAATTCCCCTCTGAGTAAAGAAAAACGTTCTGGTTTCTGTCCTGATATTAACTCTTTGTAACCCTAAACCTGTGTCCTCTTGTGCTGTCTTTGGGAAGCCTAACGTAGTGTTCCGGGATTGCATTTATATAGCGCCCTTCATCTGCGGGTAGCATCCCAGAGCGTGATACACATCTCTAGAAGACCACTCTCTCTGCTCAGCGAGCACTTGCCTGCTTCATGTCCCGTCCCCCCAGCCCTGACCGGTATGCCTCACTTTGCTGTTGTTGGACAAGCTGTCAGCCACCACTCTGCCCTCGCACTCTGAGTTTGCAATTCCATCCCGGAGTCTCTCCATCTCTCCTTCCCTTCCCCACTTTAATACATTTCTCATTTCTCTTCTACTATGGTTTTAGTCACTCCCCACCCCCTCCCCCACCAACCACTTCCCCCCAGTTCAGACTCCCAGATTGCTCTGTGAAATGCTTTTAACGTCCTCCGGATAAAGTTTAAATGTAAAATTGTTGCTGTTGCAAGTTGAGCTCAACATAAAATCAACTCGAAGGTAACCGACTGGAACAGTGTTTTTTCTGAGACAGATGCTTTCGGCCTACGAACTGGTTTAAATTAGCATATAGATTCAGTACAGATGGAGTCAGACTTGGGCACTCAACACCATTTACACTGTGCATCTTAATTCAAATTGACGAGGGTGTGAGACAGCATTCCAATCATGAGAGGCCTCATAGATGAAGTAAGCTATTTGTAGGGAATGTGGAGGACATTTATCTAACCGACAAGCTGGTACAGTCAGTAAAACATGGCACACACACCAGAAAAAAATGCAAACCAATAAAACCATCAAACCATCGTTACAATTGTCTTGTTCCAAACTATTAGCTTCCAAGACTGCAGCCACATTCTTTTCCTCCTGCCCAAAATATCTCAGTCGATTTGTTTCGTCTCCCTGGAGCTGGGTCGTGAAGTCAAGGAATGAGAATTCATCTATGCAAAATAGTTTCTTCCACGGACAGTCAAAAATGCTCCAGACAAAGTTATTCCATCAGCTGCAAACTGATGCCTCTGGCAAAAAGTCCTGTATTGCCTGTCTGAGCTGCCGTCATTCTGATGGGATGTTAAGAGATCCCATGGCACGATTCAAAAAGAGAGGAGAGTTTGTCCCCGGTGTCCTGGCCAACAATCCCTTCAGATAAAAGATGGTCATTCATGGCTGCTTGTGGGAATTCCTTTGCGCAAATTAGATGTTTGCCTACAAAATACAGTCACTATGTTTTATAATAATTCTTGTGAAGACATCTTGATGACCTGATGAAGCACTATATCAAATACAAGGATTGTCTTATAAGCTAATTTACAGTGAGTCCTGTGAAGCACTTTAAAGCGTTCTCCTGATGTAAAGGGCGGGATATCAAATGTAAGGGTTATTTATTATTTTTATTAATATTACTAGCTTTCTCCGCCAGCCTTTATATAATAATCCTTATATTTGATATAGCGCCTTATCACGCCGTTGAGATATCTCAACACTTCACAGGATATATTGTAAAGTGGAGTGACTGTGTATTTTGTGGGCGTTACCGCGGTAGAGACAATCGACGAACAACTGTGTCCTACTTACTGCTCGGTAAACAGAGGAGTGTGGAATAAGGAAATGTTCTAAAGGTCTCACCCTGCGTGGGAATCGAACCTGGGTTCTCCCGCTTGCGAGCTGAGCGCTAACCACTGCGCTACAGGACTCCCTTTTTCTCAGGCAGTATGCAGCTCATCTTACTTTGCAACCCTATCACTTTCAAGGATACAATCAAATCACCACGAGCACACTGTCTAGCAGCCGGGCCCAGAAATGATGACATCAGGATTGAGGTTGAATGATTGCGGGAGGTGCCAGACATCAGCAAACGCGTGAATTCGGAAAGGAACAGACCCTTGTCACTATGTTAACCAGCTGCCACTCTATTTATAACCCAGTGAAGGCAGCAGTCAATCTAAGCAAACACACCAGCACTCACAGTTATCATGCTGAGACAAGACTCACCACACAATACAACAATAACGTGCTACAGTAATCTTGCATTTGATGTAGCACCCGTCATGTCAGGAGGATGTTTCAAAGCTCTTCATAGCATTTACCATAAAGTGTAGTGACTGTATTACTACAGCAACCCCCCATAAACAGCCATGAAGTGACATTGATCAAACAAACTACAGCCAACAGGGTGCGATTCATTACCATACGGTTTGGCAGCTACAGTTGGTGAGTAATTTGAGTAATTTTGCCAGACTGTATCAAGTGGCAGATTTCTGCCGTGTGGACTTTCACACCCACCTACATTTGTCCGAAGGAAATCGGACAAAAGTACCCTGGCCGAAAGGCATTTTACTTTGGAACAACACCTGCTCCTAGATTCACCTCCCCTCCCTGACAAAGCTCGTCCCTTTTATCCACATTATTCTTTGTGAATTAATAGATTAGGACAGCCCAGTCTTCAGATTCAATGGCACTCACTGGCTATTCAAGCAAAGATTTGCAGACAAAACCCTTATCACTGCACCTTACAATATATCCCGCAATACACTTTGGCACATCCTTTCATTTGAGTCTCGGTCAGGTTCCACTGACGCTTCATCTCGCAATGGATTGGTTTTGTGGTCCTCACCTATAAATCCTTTCATGCTCCAGCACCTCCCTAACTGTGTGATATCCACTCCTCTGCTCGGCTTCAAACGCTCTCCCTCAATCCGTCCGACTTGTCCCCTCCTATTTCAGAGCACGTCTGAAAACCTTCCTCTTCGAGGAGCTCAGGGCAGCTGCACAACCCCACCGCCCCAGGCCTTCAGCTGTGACCTCCCCTCCCCCAATCTCTGGAATTGCCTCCCTCGACCTCCCCGTCTCGCGTCCCAACCCCCTATCGAACAGCCTTAAATCATGCCTGAAAACCTACCTCTGCGACCCTGCCTACAATCTCGTCCCTCTTCCCTCTCTCATTGTAAAGAAGCTTTTCCATATGAAGGATGTATAACAACAACTTTCACTTATATAGCGCTCTTCACGTGGGGTAGTGTCTCGGAGCGCTTAACAGTGGCCTGACGCTGAGCTGAGGGGAGGAGGGAAGTGACAGTGAACACCGTCAAAGAGAAAGTCTTCAGGCGTGATCTAAAGATGGGTAAGGAGGGACAAGGCAGATGGATTGATGGAGAGACTTCCAAAGTTTTGGGACATAGTGGCTGAAAATGCAGAGGGTGGAGGGGAGAAGGGACGAGCAGCAGGCTGGAGCCAACCGAGCGGAGGCAGCAGGTGGTCGAAGGGGGAAAGCAAGTTAGAGAGGTAGGGAGGTGCCAGGGCATGAAGGGATTTGCAGACGAGTGAGAGGAGTCATTCTTGAAGTCATTCTGTTCTGTGGTAGAGAACCAGTGGAGCCTGGTGAGGACTGGTGTGATGGGGGGATGGCATCTCTCAAAACCCCAAAAATACAACATTTCACAGCGAGTTTAAACCGTTGCTGCCTACATTGTGCAGGGCAGCAACCTCGCAGCCTGATTCCCAACACTTTACCCAATTAATATTTCCTGTGCTGGAAGGAGCACAATGACTTGCTTTTCCTTTCACATTAAGGTTTCACAATAAACAACGGAGAACGCACGGAATAGAAAAGAAGGGGTGGGATTGTCACATCGATTCAGTGTGGAGGGTGTTTGAAGGGGAGGGATGTGGGGTGGAGGGGCCTGGGGATGGGGAGGAAGGGAGGGTGAAACATGTAGCGATTTCAGAAATGTGCCAATTACCTACGACCATGATGTTGAACTCGAATCCGGTTTTCATGGCTTTACGCCGCATCTGATCCAGGACGGCTTCGATGCCCACATATCCAAACAGATCGCTTCCCGTGATGTTCTTCTTGGGGGCTGGAGGATAAAGGGGCCCAACCTCCTTGGTCGTCTCCGCCATGATCTCTCTCACCTCTGATCCTGCCGGAAGAGGAAGAATAGACAAGGTTTTAGCAACTGATGGGGAGTGGTCACCACAATCCTGGCCCTGCAAACCAACACCCGCCGACAGACCAACCAGAGGAGACTGTGGACATTTGTTGACAGCCAATGCCTGCACTCAAGAGATTAGATTAGAGCCTTGAAATCAGCTCCTGGGATCTGCTATCATTGACTCCAAAATGTACTGTTTTGCCTGTTAACTGTGCAAACACATAAAGCTCAGGCTGTGCTGATTTTGTTTAGCCTCTGCCCAAGTCACATCTGAAGCCGTTTGGTGCAGATCCCAAACTAACGACATCCTCACAGAGACGTCTCTCAGGTCAACAAAACCAGCCAAATGTTTATCTGGAGATACGGTCTGAAGTTGATTACTAGGAACTTTTACGTCCAGATTGCAACAAAACAAGGATTACTTGTTAAAGCCAATCGCCTCCTTGAGAAGTGTGTGGGTTTTAAAAGCTCCACACATCCCATTGTATCGTAGCATAAGCTTGTTCAGTTTGGTGCCTAGTGTCCCAATAAGTGCACACAGTCCACACACACAATACACAGAAATAGGCAGCCACTCACAGGCTTGACTTTCACCTTCACAGTTCATTTAACTCATCACTTTAATAGTGGTCCAAAACAGACAGAATCAGAAAATGCAATAGAGAGACAGACACCCAAGAGAGAGAGAGAGACCCAACAGAGAGAGAGAACACAGTGAAAGAGAGACAGATAATACAGTGACACAGACAAGAGAATGCACAAGAGAGAAAGACAGAGAAACATTTAGAAAGAGAGATAGTGATAGTGAGAGAAAGTTTGAATGAGAGACCAAGGAGGGGAGAGCAGAGCAAAGGAGAGAGAGGAACTAGTACTAGAGTGTCAACAATATAACAACAAGATTACATTTGTATAGTGCCTTTCACGTCGGGAGGACGTCCCAAGGCGCTGGACAATGTAAGCATTTCAGACCTGATCTGGGGGGAGAAGGGAGGGGGAGAGGAAGGGGGGTTGCCAATGCATGGTATATAGCTCTTAAAGCAAGAATCTTTTGGTTCATGCCACACCCAATTTGTATTTTAGCGAGGACCTATTTGCCCGGTTCCTTTGTTAAAACATGAGAAGATTGGTTCAGACGAAGAAGACCCTTCGGCCAATCTGATCTCATCTTTCCAGAACACACACCTTTCAGTCTTCCTGTCACACATTGAATGAGGTCTCGGCTCCCTGTTCGAGTGGACAGTAAAGATTTTGTGGGATTATTCAAAAAGGGCAGGGCATTTCTCCCTCTCGGTGCCCTGGTCAACAATCCCCCCACGCCACTCCTGCCTGATAAAATCTGTCATTCACTTCACAGCTGTTTTTGGACGTTGTGTGCAAACTGGCTTCAACATTCAAATACACGGTGAATCCTGTAAAGCACTTTGAGATGTCCTCCCGAAGTGAAAAGCACTGTATCAGATGCAAGTGTTAATTATTATTTTAAAGCAAGCTATAGCATCTTCTCTTGTGGTATCACCTCTTGGATGACAAACGTATCTCTGCATCTACCATAAATATTCAGTGTCAGCACATCTGTGATAACCTCTTGATCTGAGAAGTATAAACCATCCCAGACTGTCAAAATAACGTTGAAATATACAGAGAACGTACACAAATGGTACTTTTAGAACGGCAGAACTAAATCACAGCTGTGAACAGCAACAATGCCTTGCCGGATATTTTCATTGCAGTATTGAACTGAATGCTGGAGCAAAATGGTTATAGATAGAGACCTCATTGGCTTCAGGGAGACAGAGAGTAGAGACCAGCGCTCCCTCCAATGCTAGCAGTAAATGTACAAAAACTTACCAGTCTGGGCCCTTGGCATTGAATTAGCTAAAACAGTGAATTCTTGTGATGATTTTCTAATCCCTTTTTCACAGTAGCAGAGTTAATCTGCCAATGAAAGCCCATCTCATCCAATGCCAATTGTAAGCATCCAGGCTCCATTACACCCTACTTGTCGGTCTTCCCAACTCTTCCCTCCACAAACTGCAGATTATTCAGAACTCCGCAACTCGTGTCCTCTCCCGCACCAAGCTCTGTGACCCTATCACCCCTATTCTCACCCGGCTTAACTGGCTCCCAATCATCCAGAGGATAGAGTTTAAAATCCTGGTCCTCGCTTTCAAAGCCCCCCATGGCTTTGCTCCTCATTACCTCTGTGACCTGCTAATGCTCAGCGACCTCCTGTCTGCTCCATGTTGTCCCTCCCTGCCTGCCCCACTCGGGCCTTCAGCCTTTCTGCCCTCAACCTTTGGAACTCCATCCCACAATCCCATCGCCTCACTCCCTCCTTTGCCCCCTTCAAGGCCTGTCTCAAGGCCTTCCTCTTCAACCGCACATTCAGTCACCCTCCCTGCCCTCCACCTCTCCTGATCCCACCCCCCAGCTAGGGTGCTCACCCTTGACTGTACAGTGTTTTTGGACATCCTCGTTACATGAAATGTGTTGTTGTGAGTGGCTGCAAATTTATATAACATACAGTTTACGTAGCTGCGGCCTTCGTGTAGGATATCATCTCAGAGCCCATCAAATTAGTGAGGAGTGGGGGGGAGTCTCTGAGCGAGGGAGAATGGGCAGTGACCTTAAACAAGGTCAAGAAGGTAGGTTTTAAAGTGGGATGTTATAAATATGAAACTCTCATAAATTATTGGACCCCCCCACCCTCCCCAAATAGTGTAATATTTAGGTCTGCGTCTCTATTTGTGTGCTTCTGTGCGTGTGCATGAATGCGTGTGCTTCCCATGCACGTGTGGTTGTGCTTCTGTGTGCACGCACAAGGGCGCTTGCACGTGTGCACGTGTGTGCGTATGCATCCACGCTTCTGTGGACGCTACCCTGTGTGATATAAATGCTCTATAAACGCAAGTAGTTGTTGTTCTGTGGTGTCTGCCAGTCTAGCTCTGTGGTTGCATCGCTCACAGGAATACCCAGTCAATTCTCCTTCAGCGAGCAGCAGTTTGGTTTACATTATTCTCAGTTCTACAATGACTCAGCGACATCTGTTTGAGGATCAAGTCTTACGCCGACCTCACGGTCTCCTGGCTGTAACTGCCCCAGACAGGCAGACAGACAGCCTGGCCCCGCAAACAGCCTCCAAACCTGGTACAAACCCTCACCCTCCCTGTGTGCGGTTTTCATACAAACAGGATACTGGTGTTGCTGCAGTGGTGCGAGCCTGTCTGACCGCTGATTAGTGAGGCTTTGATCTCTTAACACTCTACCTCTTCATCTGAATTTCAATGGACAGAGAGAGATGGCTGCATTCTGGGCACTGCAAGGCTTCACACCGCTTGTCACAGTAAGTTCACCCGGATCGCTTCTGGTTTGTAACATAAACGTGTAACGCGGGGCTGCATCACTCATCTCTGACAAGTTCCCATCACTGGAGCTCGCTCAAGAGCTCAGACGCTAATGAGAGTCTCTCTAGTGCTGTCTTCTCTTACCTTCTTCTGCCCACCCCACCCCACCCAGCACTACACACACACACACGCACACACACAGCTCAGGCCCTGAGACCCAGAAAATGCAAATCACTGCTGACTGCAACACAGATGGTAGCAGGTGACGACACAATGGGAGCGGTAATTCTAATAAAACCACACAGGCACAGAAGGTTCTCTGCCCCATGTTAAAAAAAAATTCCTGGCTGTCAGTGGATATTAAAGAGAAGGAACTCATTGACATGGTAAATTGTCCAAAGCGTGTGTGGTTCCTTACAAAGAGAATCGAGGAGGGATGAAAGGAAGGTTCCAGCACACCCCCCACCCCCCACTCTTCCCGCCCCATCTTGTAGTCTCTCAGTTTTGCTGCAGCCCCAGCCCCATGCTCCTTCTCGAGCCATCTGTTTGCTAATCAGAACTCTGCACCATTTGACTCCTCACTCCACATCACCGAGCTGCTTCAGCCCAGCTTGCAAGCTGAGGTGAAGTGAGACGCTGCGATACAGAGGCAGCGGCGTCAAAGCCGGCGTATAAGAATTAGGCAAACGGGGCAAAGGGACACACGAGCACAGCGAGGCAAAGATCTACAATCAGGCGCAGAAGGCAAAGCTTCATTTAACAACCGACTCCTCTCCACTAAACAATGCACGCCTCTGCTCAGCGGTGAAAAACTACTCCGATACTTTTCCTGGCTATCCTAATCTGTGATGCTCTTGCACTGTATCCCGGTTGGTGTGAGCAAACGCTATCAGATTACATTCAAATCCTGCAGCATGTAAGCAAGTCAGATATTGCATAGGAGCTGACATGTCACACTGCCATTGCAGTCAGCCACACAGAGTGAGGCACGACCCACTGCAAAGCGGGGTGTTTTCTACACGTAGCTAGGCTCGGGACTTACCCTCCGCATCCAAGGGGTCCTTTTCAGCTGAACGACTAAAAATACCTGGTGGGAGGAATGGTGCCGGGGCCTCTCGCTTGCGTTTGTATCTGCAGCTTGTGCTGTGGCAAATAATTCTCCCCCAGCACTGAGCCAAGTCATGCAAATGATGAGCACGAGGATGCCTTTCTGCCCCAGCTCACAGAGCCTCCCCTGGTTACTGGCTGCATCACACACACACACGACTAGAATAGTAATCAGGGCCACTTCAGGCTGGGCTGTGACTGCTTCCCGAGATCTCTCATTCCCTTTCTTTGGCTGCATTGCTTGACCGCGTTTACTTGAAACAAGGCTGGCCTCTCTCTCTCTCTGCGTCTCTCTCTACGCGAGCCCCATTCAAAGCCGGCACCAATAGCAGCTGGCAAGCGAGCACTTGGTTTTGTAAAGGTCACAGTTTTCAGGCTTTCAGATCAAAAACAAACCTGAGACCGGTTGGTAGCTGAGTAGATTGTTATGAAAATCTTTCTTCTACTTTGACATTTCGCCCACAAAGTACACAGTCACTCCAGTTTACAATCTATTCTATGAAGCACTTTGAGATGTCTCAATGACGTGAAAAGGGG